GGAGCCCCCAGGCGGGGAGGCGGGACCGGGCGCCGGGCGGGCTGCGGGGCCGGCTGGGCCTGGAGGGACGGCGGCGGGGAGGAAGTGGGGCTCGCCGCCTACACCCGCGGCGTCCTCGGCCCGCGGGGCGCTTGCTCTGCCCGACGGCGGCTCGGGGCTCAGTGACTGTATTCAGGGTCGCTCTCGCACCGACTGCTCAGAAAGAGAATCAGCCTGGCGCCGTCCCACTTGATCTCTCGTCCGCTCCAGCCCGGTTGACTTAGTTTGCAGACTTCCTGACGGCCGACCCCGTGAGAAGTGACAGAGCCCGCGGGGTCGGGAACTGCGGGCCCGGCTGCTTCGGGGAGGGTCACGTCCTGGACGCTTGGCTGAAAGCTCCTTTTGACAAAGCTGTTCAGTTTGGTGGCCGGGCCCTGCACGTCGCCTCCTCCCGCCTACGCGGCGTCCGAATCCCTGCATGTGTGTCGGGCTTGTGCAGAATGTTCCCAATGCTTTCGGAAGTTGGCCCTGGAAGCCTTGCGGCCGCCTCCCCACCTTGCAATCTTACGACTCAGATTTTTTTTTTCCTTCGGTATTTGAACTAGTCGACTTACCCCACTAGGCTGATCATTCTTTAGACGTGGTAGTCGGTACCAAGTTAATCCACAACCAAGTGATATCTGCGCATCTGGCAGGTTAAAGTAGTAAACTGCTTTACCGGTCAAGGTTAAGCCTCCACCATTATCAGGAAAGTTGGTGCCTGAGAAGTAAGGCCTGGCGGCCTGCTTCCTAAACATCACAGCCTTAAAATCCCAATTTAATTCTACTGTTCACATGGCAGGGGCTGGGGGTTGTCACCAGGAGTAGGCAACTCTATGGCAACTCACAATACCAGGTGCTCTACGTTATTAATCCTGGTTATTTAGTTCCTTTTAATTCAAGCACATAAAAAGAGGTTAAAGGTCACTGGGAAATATTTTTGCTAAGCAGGCGACGGTGTTCTGCGGCATTTTCTCAGTTTTTGTTTGTCCCCCCACCCCTACTTCTACTCATAACGAATGAATGGAGTTGAGCCTATCTAGGATCTCTGACAGCTCCTTTCCCCCCTCTCTTTTACCCAGCATTTTCTAGACGGACTAGAACAAAAAGCCAAATGCTGGCTTTCCCCACACACCCTCATCCACCCCCAGCCGTGTGTCCATCCATACCCAGGCTGAAACATTGGTACTCGAGATTTTGATAGTGATTCCTTAGTTTTATTTAGTGCCATTTTGTGAAAACATGACAATTACATTTCTTTTGTCTAACGTCATTGTTGGACAATATTAGGCATATCATAAAAGTTCAGTAACTCATTTTATTAAATATATATTATTTTAATCGTGTTTTAATATTTTTTTTTAAAAAAAAATCCCTTATCACTGTTTGAAGTTGTAGCTTTAATGCTGTACATCTTTGAATCTATATATGTCCCATGTTCCAGTCTGGCCAAGGCTGTTCCTGTCTTTTCACATGAAGTAGTTCCTGGGTGCTTTGCTGCTGGTAGAGCAGTTCACTGAGAAGAGCAGCAGTACTTGATTCTTAATAAGTTTCGAACTTGGAACTGTACTGTTACTGACTGATAGAAAATCCTGTCACTTACATTTTCCTGGAACTTAAGTGTAGGATGTTAAAAGATCCAACAAAAGGGTAAGTCTTTTATTTCCTCCCAAAAAGTACAGCTTAGATTTGAAACATTTGCTGAAAGGAGATCTAGGAGCTCCAGTAACAATACCTCTTGGGTGAAGAGACATAATCAGTTACTTTTAAGACATATTTTACGGTGACTCGACAGCACAGAACACTACCACCACCACATATTTTAAACTTTGAGATCTATTGCTTGTGTAGCTAGCTAGCAGGTCTACATGATAGTGTATACCTAAAAACCCAATAGAGGGTCAGCAAGAGTCAGAATTGATGCAGTGGTAGGGTTTTGGTGGTGTGTTTAGAAGAGATCCAAAATCTGTATTGTTGTTGTTGTTATGTGCCGTCGAGTCGCTTGCGACTCATAGTGACCCTGTGTACAACAGCCCTAAACTCCGCTCTGTCCTGTGCCAATCGCACTGTCTCTGACACTCCCATCCCAATTATCCCAGTCACCGAATCAATCCACCTCATAGAGGGCCTTCCTCTCCTGCGCTGTCCCTCTACCCTCCCAAGCATGATGTCCTTCTCCAAGGACCGGTCTCTCCTCACAACATGTCCAAAGTAATTTAGACGGAGCCTCAGAATCCTTGCCTCCAAGGAGCCACCCGGTTTAACCCTTTCCAGGACAAATCTGTTTGTTTTCCTAGCAGTCCATGGTATTCTCAATACTCTTCTCCAGCACCACAGCTCAAAGGCATCAATTCTCCTTCTATCCTCCTTGGTCATTGTCCAACTCTCTGATGCATAACAGGTGATTGCGAAGACCATGGCCTGTATCAGACGCACCTTAGTCTCCAGAGAGACACCATTGCTCTTCAGTACTTTGGAGAGGTCCCTAACAGCAGACTTTCCCGTGGCAATGCGCCTTTTAATTTCCTGGCTGCTGGTGCCAAGACTGTTGACTACAGAGCCAAGCAAACTAAAGCTGTGTACAATCTTTGTGGAAGGAAACGGCAATATTTCTTTTTTCTCTTGGAGAACAGTTGATGGTTTCAAACATCTGCTTGAAATGGTTAGTAACCAAATACTTAACCACTGCACAACCAGAGCTCCTTTAGAAGAAGAAATTCTTAAAAAAACTAGTCTGCTTTAGGTGAAAAGAAAATACTCTGTAGTACATTTACCTTTAATGTTCTTCTTGTCTCTTTAGTGCATTGCTCTTGGCTCCTCAGGCATTCCAACCCTTTTGCCTGGAAACTTCATGAAGACCCAGCCCTGTATTTTGAATCTGTATTTCTAGATGTGCCTGGGAATGTATACTTTTTAAACATTCCCCTAGCTATTTCTGATCCTAGTCAGCATTGAGAGGATGGAAGCATTTGATAATGTTGTTGCTATGTGCCTCGACTCACAGTTAACCCACCAGTAGATTTTCAAAGGCTGTAAGTCATCCAGGAGGAGGTTACCCTTCTTTCTAAGTGGAGTGGCTGGTGGATTTGAACTGTGTGTGTGCCTTTGGCTTGACAGTTGCAACTCCTAACCACCAGGCCACCAGGGAGAAAGATAGGTAGTATCCTTCTATGAGTTTTCACTGAAAGCTCAGTTCTGATTGGACAGTAGTAAGTTTAAGTTGGGTTTTCTTCATCTGTGTTGGAGACGGTTTAATATTAGGCATTTATTTGTGTTTTATAGTGTTATGTTTTAGGAGACAAATGCCATAATTTGATTGAAATGTTTTAAAAACTAATCAATGAAATTGTTTGTCCTTCTTGTACCAGTTGAAGTTTGGTGGTGATCCTTTGAAGCAATGCTGCTTCCTTCATAGGGCTGCTGCTTTGCTTGTGTCCTGCTATTGTTCAGTGTAGAAAAAATGCCCACCTCTTCTAGCTCTCATAACCCGTAATATCCTAGGTCCTAGCGACAGTGAGCAGAGAGTTGACTTAGCTTACCCTTCTCTTGTGTAGACTTCTTCTTGTAGATTTGGTTAACTAAATTTACATATTTACATAGATTATTCTGAAATTATTTTTAAACATGTAATATCACATGCAGTTGGTCTTTAATTTTCATTCAATTTGTATAAACCTAGGGGCTTGAATTGAGTTTAGCCTTATTACCTCGATGTATAAGGTTTATTGAGTAAGATAACCTTAATTGGTGGATGAATTTGTACTGTGTTCCTGTCTAAAAGTCTCCTAGTCCCTCTTCATCAAAATATTTGGAAATTGGCATTAATCAAAGGATAAATTGCTTTGTTGTGTTTTAAGTGTACTCTGTCTCTCTCAAATTGCCCTTGGCTTGGGTTTTAGAGGCTATAAATTGAATGATACATGACTGTCCATCTATTTTCTGAGGTGCCAGGGTTGGATTTGAACCACTAAAGAGGTAAAACCTTTGAGTTAGCAGCACAAATCACTATGTACTATACCACCAGTTGTTATTGTTGGGTACTGTGGAGTTGGAACCAGCTCAGAGCTGACCCTCCCAAGAATTTTTGGAGGAAGTAAATTGCACAGAAGGAGATTACTCATCTTTTTCCCATGGAGTAGCTGGTGGATTTGAACCAAGTACCTTTGCGCTGACAGTTCAATTCCTTACCCATAAGCCATCCGAACTCCTTTATTTTAAGTATTCAACTCCCTTATTTAAGGTTTTAAAATTCATTGCCATTAAGTTGGAACCAACTCATACTAACCCATCATTAAGTTTGTGAAGATGTGAATTGCACAGGAAGAGAGTACCCATCTCTCTTTCAGCGAGCCGCTAGTGAATTTGAACTGCCATTAGGGCATAGCTTTTGAGTTAGCAGAGCCCATTTCCCTACAGAATGAGGGAATGTTTTTATGAACTGTCAAGGTGAGCTGATGTGTAGCAGACTATCTAGCAGGTTTCCAGACATTGTAAAGTCACATGGGAGGAGATTGCCCATCTTTTTTCTACAGAGCAGCTGATGAATTTGAACCATGTGTCTTTGGTTTGGGAGGGCAAAAATTTTCAGAGGAAACCACTGCTTAAAGGAAGCTTGTAAGCATAAGATCAGGTACTTAATACTTTATAATTGCTTTAAAAACCCACTTTCAGTGAGTGTGTTACTCCTACACAATTTATTCTTAACTCATTGTTAATTTGTATTTGATCAGAAATGGGTTTAATTGATCAATCTGTGTGTTAAACTAGTGCCTTTCAAAGACTAAGTATAAATTGACTGTGGCCCTTCTGCATTCACCCAGACACCTGCTCAGATATTCCCTCATGTTGGTCCAGGAGAAGATCTGAGATGTAGTCATTCCTGTAGGCTGTAAGTGCCTGAGGGAAGCTTCAGGAACTCTCATCCTTTTGTTCCTAGCACTTGGCAGAAGCACTCCGCAAATGTTTCTTCCTTGAACTGAACAGTGTCTTTGTGTTTAGGAGATATTTTCAAATTGTCTCCTAATTAGTGGAAACGAAGTAATAGTCTACTGAAGTTCTTTATGGAAGCACATCTGCTGCTTCCACTAATTAATTTTGTTTATCAAGCCCAGCTCTCTTGGCATGCTTAGTTCTATATGCAAGCATGCCTTTTCTTGAAAGAGAAGTGAAAAGAACAGAAAAATATCTTTTGGCTCGAACGTAAATTGCAGCACTCAGAAACACTGTTATACCGTATTGTAGTAGTTGTTGCTATTGGTTGCCTTCAAGTCAAGCATGACTCACAGCAACGCTATGAACAAAAGGCCTGAAGCCCCTCTATAGCTGTTGACATGTGTCAAAGTTCATAGAGTTTCTGGAGGCAAGTTATTTAGGAAATGGATGCCACTCCTGCTTCCAAGTTATACCATGTATTACCCCAAAATAAAGAAATCTGCTAAAAGAACCATTCAACAAATAAAAAATTCTTATTGGAGCAGAAATCGAGCTCTGAATAATGTCTTAAACTGTACTTAGGAGCCTTTCATTTCATAAGATGAACCGTTTAACCTGATGGTGCTGAAACATACCTGGAAATCATGGGGGGGAAAAAAAAACAAAACACAACTTGGAAACTAGACATCCCTCACTTATGCAGTAGTATGTTTTTATTTTTAAGATGCGTGCGTGAAGTAAAGTTAATTGCAGGGTTCAGTGAAGATTTTAGTTAAGACAAAAAAAACTTCTTCTGGAAAGAACTCTATTTCTAACAGAGTTTTTGAAGCAATTGTTCATGTGCCCTAAAATATAAAGTTAACTCTTATCTGTACACATTAGAGCAATAGAGTGTCTTTGGTAAGAAGGAAATGGCCCTAACCTACCTGGCATTGCACTTAGCACATAGTTGTTGTTGTTAAGTACCACTGAGTCAGAATCGACTCATAGTTGACTCTCCAGCTGGTGTTGGGTCAGAGGCTGTAAATGGTATGGGAGGAGATTGTTTTGTTCACTTGGATCAGTGGTGGATTAGAACCACATGCCTTTAGATTGACAATGCAGCTCCTTACCCAGTGGACCACCAGAGTAACCTTAGCACATATGTTGTTCTTGTTATGTACATTTTAATTGGAGCTACTCATAGCTGACCCATCAGTAGATCTCAGAGGCAGCACGGGAGGAAATTGCCCACCTTTCTCTCATTTAGCCCATAGTAGAACTACATAAAAGGTGGTTGTCTTACTCCTCATTCTGTTTATCAGATCACTTTCACCAACATCAAGGCCCTTGTAATGCCTTCATGATATCATCTCGCTCCACTTGCCTCTGTGAACTTACTGTTACCACACTTCATCAGACATACTTATTTTATTGATATTTCTCAAAGGCAGCAAGTACCTTTCCACATCAGAGCCATTCCATGTGCTATTCTCACTGCTGGTAACAGTCAAGCCAGATGTCTACATAGTTTCTTTTTCCTTAACTCATTGCTCTGATCTCCTTCTTGAGGAGAATTTTCCTGACCACCTTTGAAAAATAGTAACCCACTCATCATTCCCAGAGACCTCCGTTTTCCTTCACTGCTTTAAGTTTTCTCCGTAGCTCTTGTCCTCTTCCAACAGATCATATTTACGCCTTCGTGTAACTTGTCTACTGACTGCCTAAGAGATCCATGACGGGTTAAATGCTCAGTGGAGATGGAGTGAAAAGACAGTGAAAACACAGGCCCTGCTCTGTTAACCTGATCCAGAGCTGGGTCTAGTGTGAGACTCAAAACTGAGCAGCATATTGAAATCATGTCATCTCATCTGTTGTTTTTAAGTAGAGAGTCTGACAATATAATTTGAAATAGAGAAGCCCTTTCTGGTGTAATTCTGACATTTAGGAAGGAAGAACACTGCCATCATTCTAGAGAGCAGCTGGTGAATTTGAACTGCCTGGCCTTGGGTTGTCAGCATAACTCTTTACCCACTGTGCCAGCAGAAGACCTTTATTAAGTGTTGTTATGATGTGTCCTGGAGTGGAAACCGACTCACCCTTGACTCCTCAGTGACTTTTTAGAGGCTCTAAATTGCAAGGAAGGAAATTGTTCCTCTTTCTCCCATGGAACAGCTAGGGGAGGACTTATGCTGCCTGTCTTTGGGTTGACAGCACAACTCCTTACCCTCAAGGTCTCAAGAACTGCCTCATGAAGTGTTAGGTAGCCATCAATTATAAGATAGGTTTGTTTTGTGCCGTGGAGTTGGAACCAACACATAGATTATTATTGCTATGTGCCATTGAGCTGCCTGTGACTCAAAGTGACCCTATGTGCAATAGCTCTGAACTCTGCCATATCCTCAGCCAGTCTCTCTGCCTCTGCCACACCTATTCCCATTACCCAGTTACTATGTCAATCCTTCTCATCTGGGGTCTTCCTTTCCTGCACTACCCTGCATCTTTCCAACCAAGATGTTCTTCGCCAAAGATTAGTCAGTCCCTCCTGGCCATGAACCCAAAGTATGTGAGATGGAGCTTCAAAGTCCTTGCCTCCAAGGAGCAGATCAATTTCACCCTCTTCAAAACAGCTGTTTGTTTTCTTGGCAGTCAATGGTATGTTCAATACTCTTCTTTAGCACCACAACTCAAAGGTATTGATTCTTCTCTGTCATCGTTAGTTATTGTCCAGCTCTCTGATTCATAGCAAGTAGTTGTGAAGACCAGCAGCTTGTATCAGGCACACCTTAGTCTCTAGCACTTTGGAGAGGTCTCTGACAGAAGATTTCCCTAATGCAGTTCATCTTTTGATTTCCTGACTGCTGATGCCAAGAATAGGTTGTTGTTGTTGTTATGTGCCGTCAAGTCGCCTGCAACTCATAGCAACCCAATGTACAACAGCCCTAAACTCTACTCT